ATAAAATATTGTAACTTTTTTTAGGACATTTGTTCCTTGGATGTTTTACAATAGAGTTATAATGTTCATGCTTGTGATGGAAAAGAAAATTTGTTATAAAGTTGGAATATCTTTGTAAGCCATCATAGGATTTAACTTGCATTATTGGAGTAATTACCTAGATCAATGTTATTTAGATGTTTTGAGTTGTATGTTGTGATGAACTATAGCATAATTGAATAGTCACACATTGATAAATGAGCTAATAATATTATTTTTTATTTTTTTGGCTACAGATCCATTTATAAAAAAGAGGGGTGCGATATGCAATCATTTTTTAATTCATTCACTTTAAAATTCAAAGACTTATTTTTAATAAGTGAAAGATTCTTTTTGATCTTATTTCAATAGTAAATTAGATCAATCTAAGAATTGCAGTAGTGAAAGCTACTATATTTGTTTTAATAAAAAATGACTTTGATAGGTTATCTTTATTTAAGTTCATATTAAATAATAAATTATTGATTTTTAGCTATTCTCATATTTCTATGATGCTTGGATCTATTTACAAAATTTCCGCCCTAGACCTAGATTTGCTTATTATTTCTTGATTTGTCATCATTGCTCTAGTGATCAATGGCATTGTACTTCAAATTCAATCTATTCTATATTCATTTTATTTTTCCACTAGTAGATTAATATCATGCCTTTGTAATGTAAATTTAATACCTTCGATAGTCGTATCTTATATTATTGGATTAATTAATTTTAAAATAATAGTGGCTTATGTATTGTTTAGGGTGATTCTTATATCCTCTAGTGCACCATTAGTGTATATTTGTTGCCTTATTATAATGTTTGGTTCTCTTCAAATTATACTCGATGATCTTTCTTCATATACAATTAAAAGGAGATGGACAAAAAATCCATATTTTAACGTGCATTCTAGTTATTTTTAGCTTTATAAAATTTATTTATATCTAAGAATTTACTAGTATTTGGAAATAATTTCTTTCTTCATTGTACCTCTATAATATGTCATTGAGTCCAATATAAACTTATTTCTTGACCTAAGCTTGGTTCTTGTGGTTATATTTTTATTGAAATAATTCTTCCTTATGAGGCTATGCTTGGACAAAATAAATAATGAAAGCTAATAGAAGAACTAGTATATATCAAAATTAGAGTTTCTTATCTTCTTTCTTACATATCTTGTCTTTCATGATCTATAGATGTAACTCATTGTTTTACTCTTAACTATGTTCCAAGAAATTTATCCACAGGCAACAGGTGGGAGGTAGATAATTACACCTTCTTTAAAATATATTACAATTATTACTTCATATTGTTCATTTTGTCACACTCCTATTAAGCCTTGCACTCCTTCATTAAGTATGTTATAGAGATGCATTACTTGCATCTTATCAATAGATTATTATAATTGACTTTGATGAGGGTCATGTTGGTAGCAATTGGATTATTGGTACCCATTGTGAAGTTAAAAGGAATCCCAATTTTCAACACAATGCAGAACTTTTGATTAGTACTAATGGCATTGCCTCTTTGCTTTCCAAGCACTGGTCCTAAATTCTATGCCAATTCAAATGTGCTACTCAAAAATTCATCTGGTATGAATTTTAGGTTATTCAAATTAGCATTTTTATTCTACAAGTTTAGTTAAGTTAAATCCTAAAATCCATAGTTGCAATATACAAATACTTGAAGATATGTAAAGTATGCATTAAAAACTTTTGTATGGCTGACTTTGCTTTTCTAATCACTTGAAAAAATCCATAGCCTAAGTCTCGCCCTAATTTTAATTTTTTAGAGGTGTCCTTGCATAGATTTTTAATCTATTTTTACATAGATTTTAGTTCTTGTTTTTCTCCTACAAAATATGCAATGATTACCTTCTTTTGATAATATTCCATTTCAGATTTGATCTTAGCTTCATTAAGTGTCACTTGCAAAATCCTATTATTCAATAGAAAATCCTTATTGCTATGAGACAATCCATTGGATAGAAGCTCACTAAGACATGTAAGTATCAAGTGGATGTCTACATATTTTTTCATTTGCATCATGGCTACTACCAATTTTGACTTAATGCATAGTTGTATAATGTGAATTCTTGCTTGAAAATACAATGTGCACCTAGTTATAGAAGGTAAGTAGAAAATGCAACAATAAGATCCTATCAAATCTAATAGAATCTTAAATAAATTCTAAATAATTCTTAATAGCCTTAATCAAATTTTAACCAATTCAAAGAAATATAAAAGAAATTACAAAAAAACATAAAGAAGTCATAAATTAACTTCAAAAAAAAATTAAATCCTTCAAAAATATTAAAAATAAAAATCCTGAATAAATCCTAAATAAATTGTAAGTAAATTCTAATCAAATCTTAATATAGCCCTAAATAAACTTTAATGAAATTCTAAATCTTAAATAATCCTGAATAATCCTAATAAAATCTTTAAAAAATCTTAATTAAATCCTAATCAAATTCTAAATCTTAAATTAAATTTTAATTAAACATTAATTAAATACTAATTAAATCTTGAATGAATTCTAAATCCTAATCAAATCCTAATCAAATCTTAAATAGTTTTTAAAAAATCTTAAATAAATTTTAATCAAGTACTATAGATATTTTAAAACCTCAATAAATATTAATTTAACCATTGAACTTGACTCAAATTTCACTCAAATTGTAATCAACATATAATTAACAAGCTCAAAAAATTTGAAAAGTATCAAATTTACTAATTATAAAAAAAAACTTCCAAAACCTCTTAGATATTAGCCGTCATCTTTTTCCAACTTAAATGTTGATCTTCCAACAGCAATTTTTCTTTGATGAAATGTTTAATTGCTTCAAAATTTAGTTGGTGCATAAATTTCTAAGTCTAAATGACTTTCACCAATCTTTGATTTAATCAAACTATCAGATATTATAAGATCACAAAAACTCTCACTGATCCTAAATTTCAATTATCTAAGACCATAATCCACAAAAACTCTCACAACCTTCAATCTTATTGCTCAATTGACATCAAATTTTTCACATGTATTTAAAACAAGCATAGTAACAAATTGACAAATTTTTACCTATAAATATGCTAAAAAATTCACAAAATCATCAAATTTATAAACTTATTTTTATTTTTCAAAATCTAAATCTATTGAATACATCTCTCTTTGGAAAGCCTTCAAAACCTCAATATGCCTTCAAATCACATAAAATCAACTTTCAAAAATCCTCTCACAAATCTTCTTCTAAATCCTACTCTCCAATCAACCAAAGAACTCTAGTCATTGTGGATGCATAGTTTTGTGCCTTAGGGTCTAATTCTGACTTTGGTTCACAACTAGTCCACTTTGGATATCAATTCTTCATATTTTGAAATGATTTTTGCTAAAAACCTATTCTTAATCTCTTCTTTAAAATACTTATATCAATTATTTATCTCATCCACTTTGATTTGGCTCACTTATATCCCTACAAATTAAGTAAAAGCTTCTTCTTTAAGAAGGCAATGTTAGCATTTATTAATTTTTACTACCTCCTTATTTATTATCTATATTTCTAAGATAATTTGCTAAAACATTTTTATTTAAGCTCTCCTATAATATATTCTCTTTTTTTGTCTTTCACCATATAATTGTACTACCATATGACAACACTCACCCCTAATCACCTTTTCCACCTTCTTTTTTTCTTCTGATGCTAAAGGCAACACTAAGGCATGTGCTAATTGCAAATTCAACAATGCTCACCCCTAATCACCTTTTCCATCTTCTTTTTTTCTTCTGATGCCAAGGGCAACATTGAGGCATGTGCTAATTGCAAATTCAATGCAGTCATGTAAGAGGCAAGTGACACCATCAAAGATTTGTTGGGCTTGTATGCAAAGAATGTGGCAAATAAACATTTGCTTGTGTACAGTCTATTGTTGAGGCAAAGTAATCTATTTGCTTCAATGAACAAACCCTAAAACTATCCCACTTAAAGTATATGGCCCCTTAGTGACTAAATGCAATGTGTGAGGCAATTTGCAGAATTATTGCTATTCTTCTTGGGATTGGACTAGAGCATTTGATTGGATCGAAGTGAGTGCATTTGCCCTAACTCACGTGAACACTTCTCGCAAGGGCAGAGGATCTCGCAGGAGCTTCATTGAGATCTGTTCCCCTTGGTTGAATTGGCAAGACTATGGATGCTGTTGGAAAGGCTGTGCATCCGAAAACCCTTTGGCACGAAAATTGAGCAGATTCATTCTGAACAAGAATGGTGAGAGGGGACCTAAATTTGGATTCTCAGGTGGATCTTGTCTCGATTGATGTGCCCCTCACTCATAGACAGATCGAAGGAGACAAGGTCATTGCAAGAAAAGCAGTCATTTGGGTAATGATCGCTCACTCCACATTGGACTGCACCACATCGAATTCCTCACCGATTCACCTTGAAACCTTATTTAGTTGATGATTGATACTGCGTTTGTTGCAGATGATGACATGACATTCAATTCCTAGTGGACAATAGCCAGCGCGTCTTCTACACGATCCAAATAAATTTGCCATGTTACATGCAAAAGTTGATGCTGTGGTCGGGGCAAAGCAAACAGTTTTGCAGCGTGACATCCACCGGCTCAAATCTGTGCAGACTGTAGATCCCATACTCATCCCCTCACGCTTCTACAGGTTATCAACAAGTAACGCGAGCCTTACAATTTAGTTGGGTACTGCATCCCAGCTGAAATACTAGCTACATCTAGAAGCGACATCTATCCGACATTGATACTGGTTCGAACTTCAGCTTTGAACTCATGTCATTCCGCATCGGACGACAGATGTGTCCAGATGTAGTGCTCATGATGCAGCTAATTGTTGCAAGTTTCGCTCATTTTAAAATATAGAGCAAGAGAAAAAGTTGTATAGTTGATCATGTCTCAATCCCACCAATAGATAGTTGGTCTCATCTTTCCAAAATGTGATCTGATGCTGAGCAGGAAGTCTTCCATGGCGATAGTTAGGGGCAGTGCCTGCTCAAAAGTTTGTAGAGCCCATACCCTTTGAATTAAAACACTGAAATGCAAGATTACAGTTGAGTTCGAGACAATGTCCGGTGTGAAGAAAAGTAGGCGTGTTGACCCGCATGTCAAATACTAAATACTCTACCTACTCAGTTTCTCAATATAGTTCTGTAAAGTCATCCCATAGTTACTGTGGATATCTTGACTGCAACTGCAAACCGGTTGTGAACGCCAAGATTGTCTACATCTTTTCATGAATATTCTACCCTTTAAATACGAACAGCATGATGGAATCCATTGACACATCTCAGAAGATTGAAGTTCCAAGATCGGTGAAACCTCCGATTTCACTCATGCATGTGATGGTGCACTAGCTCTAGCGGCATTTACAGTAGTCTTTCATGCGCCTTTCCTCTGTAATGACCTCAAGAAGCGATACCCAGCCAGTGGCAAGCTGTTTAACACACAACACACAAAACTATTCAGATTCCCCACATCAGATATGACTTCAACTTTACAAGTCTGGTTGGCATGGTTCAAAAGTCATATCACTACTTAAATATACTCTATCTTCGACAGCGAAGAACTGTAGCAAGATCCAATGATGGGCAGATCCTGATAGAACAGCGCTACTCGAAATACTGATCTGTGAGGTACTAAGCCAGCGAACCTTACGTATTCTCTGGTTCAGACGCATGAAAGAAGTGCATTCGATCTCACCCCAATGGTTAATGATACAGAGGGGAGCTTTTTGTTGTCGTCATTGCATCAACCATTCCATCTTCTTAAGTATTTCATTCTTCGGCCCAAGAGACAAAAGAGAAATCTAAATTCTTCTGGGAATAATACAACTGATGACTGTCAACCACGAATATCATATGCCTTACTAGGGGCATAGAAATGAAGTATTCAAATGCAGATATTGTAACCTGAGTTCACGACACCGAAGTAGCTAAGGGAAGAGGCACGAGTTGTCTTCATACAGGTGTTAGTGTTAAAATGCTGTCAACGTCATCGAGCAAAACGATCCGATCCCCACTCCCGTATGAGTAGAGCAGTACACGCTATAAAAGTAGACTGGTCCAGAGGAGGATGTAAAGTTCACACCTCGAGACCACAGTACATTAGAGTTTCAGGAGGAATTGATGCAAGGGTGTAGCATAAACACTTCTACATCTGATCGGTCATCCTTCGAAAAACCTGCCGCAGCCACCAACGAACTTGTCACACCAACTGAAAGAAAAGCTGTTGATTTACTTTCATGAGTCATTCAACAATATTGATTCTAGAGTATAGGAATTCTGCGCACCTCGTAAAATATAGAATCAAGGGAATCGCTGCATCGTACATACGAACCAAGGACTGCCGTCGATATTTCCAGGTTTCGTTTGCACAGATGATGGCAGTTTAAACACAAGATAATCATGCTCAAGGATCCTAGACAGCACAATGGTATATCCATATGAACAAGAGATAGGAGTTGGATTAAGGTGATGAGAAGCAAATAAAAGTATCTCTAATTAATAGGGCAGGATTATCTTCTGACAGAGTACCCTATAAAAAGGAGCTCCTGTGTCCCTTAGTTTGGCAGCAATTGATCCACTTATTCGACAAATACAAAAGAGTACCAGGAACTTAAATCCACATGAAGTGGTTAACTTATGTTTTTTATGACTAAAAAGAAAGGTTAATAACAGTAATGCACAAGGATTCAAAAGAACGAACCCACCATGGAGTCTCAGAGCACTCTACACATACGGTAGACCTTGTAAAAACTCGTCATCGTGTCGCGAAGGGTGTGAGCAACCATCATCTTCGTCTTCACACCACCGTGCATCGGCCAATCCTTCAGAATACGTCTTTTTCATGCCGTTGTTGCCACCACAGTGATTCCTTCACATCATGTGAACTCCTCGAAATACTTCAATATCCCATGCGCAAATCTTGCAACACAGGTCATAAAACTATAAGACAACATACTCACATAATGTATAACATGAAAGTATCTGTAAAGACGTGGAAGGAATGAGGTATATCGTCACCCCCATGGTTCTCTCCAGCTACTATGCTCGCCAACTACATCAGGAATTCAACTATGGCCCAGAATCCTTTGCTGATGGTAAGAAGATACTCGGAATAAAAAGATCACCAGTGATGGTAAGTGAAAAGATCCATCTTAACTTTGGCACCATTAGTTGAGCTGCCTGCGGCACTTGGGCAGGCCTACTGGGTCAATCGCCGCTGCATCACCAGCTTCTTCGTCGAATGCCCTGCAAGTATTGCGAATTGCAATCCAACCACGATCATCACATGCGGAATTACAATAATGGCAAAACTACGGAGGAAGTACGTGTATTTCTCGCAACTATGATGAGACCCAGGAATTCCTAGTGTGACAGGTTTCCGATCAGTTAAGTTTCACAGATTTCAAAAACTTTTTGACATAAGCACATTACAAAAAAAATTGAGGCACTTCATGCAAAACCTTTCAGTGGAAAGCTACAGATGAAGTTAGAAACACTAACGTCATTGTTCATGACATATGAAAACATCACGCTGTCAGTGATCCCATGCTCTTCAGACAAGACAGTTTTACACGTCACACTTGAGTAAGACCCCCATCCTGTGTGTAAAGAATTGTACCCAAAAAAGTTGTCAGAAACGACGACGACTACCTCACCTCACGAAATTTAACCACACATCAAAAACCTGTTCCTGCAACAATCCTCCATCGTTCCAGAAGCCACGACACACTCCTCTTCCCCGCTTCACCCTTAATCTGCACCAACCCCACTACCCAAGTGCCAACACATTAAAAATAAACCCAAACAGGAGAACCCAGATTCAGAACATAACTACAAACACAATGCAAACTTTCCATGTTAAAAACTCCCTCAATTAACTTGATTATCACATACTCCCACACACACAAAAATGAAAATAAGAAGGAAAGAAAGGAATTGAACAGGGACATACAAGTAAGCGTCGTTGTTCTTCAAGGGAGTTCATGTTCTCCACCTTCCTCGGCAAATCCATCCGCTCCTACTCTCCTCTACAACTGCGAAGAATACAGTCTATCACGAGCCCTAATCCATCAAAAATCAAACTGGACAATTTGATACAACAATCAACAAGATCTTCAGAGAACTGTCTGTCAAACCAGACAACACAATTCACACAAACGGCATCGTTAAAAGTGAGTTGGGGTGAAGCCCAGCAAGCTTGTGGGATTAGTCTTGCAATGTGAGGGTCTTATAAGACAAAAGATATTGTAGGAATAAACTATAAAGCATCCATGACTTAAAGTTTTGTCTTTTACTCTCTTGTGGAACACTAAGAGATGATCTAAGTTTCGAACTTAAACAATTCATTGGAAGAGAGTGGAATTGGATTAGTTCTGAAATTGCTTTGGTGTGCTGATTGCATTGTGTTTCTAGAATGGTGTGCAAGAATTTTAATTAGATCAACCTATGTTGAATGAAGACTAAACCAAATTATTATTATTATTGTTATTATTGTTGTTGTTGTATATACAAACATATACAATATATTTAATAATATATTATAACCAATCATATTAAGAGTCAAATGGTTAGAATGAAGATATAAACGAAATTATGTGTTTTCAAATGGTTAGAATAGATAGATAGATAGATAGATAATGTGTTTTCAAATGGTTAGAATGAAGATATAAACGAAATTTATTTAGAATTTTAATATATATATATATATATATATATATATATATTCATAAATTCTTCTTACTTTTTATTATCTCCAAAGTCCAAGTTTTTGTAAGGAAAATTTCTCCACAAAGCAAAAATATATGTGAAAAAATTGTACTATGGCTTTTCAAAGAGGCCTTCTAAATATAAAATAAAAAATATAAATTTAAAAACCAATTTAAGATTACAATATCATAGCAATAAAATATTATATATATATATATATATATATATATATATATATGTTCTTAAAAAATAATTTATTTATATATACACATATTAACAATTTTATTTTTAAATCTGTATTTATTTAGTTCAACAAATAATGCATATGGCACTATCCATATTTTTACATGTTGTTAAATAGTCATTTAGAGTTTACAAATTTTATATTTATATATATATATATAGATATAATACTATCAAAAGTCTAACCAATTGACATCATGTATCATTTTTGTACCATATGTTATTTTTTTATTATATACCATTCTAATATTTACATTCCTATCATGTATATATAATATAAAAATTGATAACAATCATTTTTATTATTATGCATGGTAGCATGCTATTCAACACATTCTAAATTTAGGTCTGAAGTTATTTTTAAAATCAAATTATTATATCTTCAAGTTTGGAATTAGAATATTTTATGCTCGTTTTTTATAAGAGAAATCTTGTATTAAAAACTTAAATTGTTAGATCCTAATGGATAAATTAAATAATTTATTATATAAGATAATGAAAAATAAAAAACCAAGTACTCATTTTTTTTAAAAATATATTTATATTTATATTTTTTTAGATATATAAAAAATAAAATTTTTTACTTTTACTATGATATATCTAACTTTCAAAAATATTTTTGATGTGTATAGGTACAAAATTGGAAATCACAAAAGCTGAAATAGAAAGTAGAACTTTAAACATATATATATATATATATCCAAAAAAAATACTATTAATCATAGAAAACAATAGTAAAAAGTATAATATATAAATGGGAATGTTAAATAGACCCATATTTTGGCAAAATTGACCCACTCATGATGAAGAATATGGTAACCATGGTGAATGTGGTTGGTTTTCATTGGTTGCAAATCCAACAGTGGAGAAATGAATCTAAAAATCTTCATTTTTTTTCATGATGGATAGGTTGATTTAGTAAAAACTTGGGTCTATTTAACTGTATATTTCCCCTGTATATTTATATTCTATATTCTTGATTGTTTCATAGAAACACGAAGCATCAAAGGCCATTGTGGCCACCATTGACATCTCAGATTCATAGGCGTGACACAATTGCCCAGAAGATCATCCACATTACATCCATTTAAGCCGTGTGTCTGATATACATTCATCCATCCACGCCCAAAGGACAAAGTCAACGAGAGAAGCTTCCGTCTTGGTACCCGGACTCAACGGTGCGGTGAGTTGTAGTCTGTCATTCAGCGATCGTGGAGGTTCAAGTGGGCAGTCGGCGAGGCGTCCGTGACCAGCATTCGGTGAACTCAGACCCCATGATCTGCGTCCATTCACGCGACCTCATTTATAATTGCGGTAACTTGCGTCAGCGGAAGAAATGAATGAGTTGAAAAAAGGTGGCAAACAGCATCCCTTCTCAGTCTGTCAAAGACCCACGTGAATTCTCTTTCATATGGCTGCGAGGAATCAGTTGCAGGACTGCCACAACACCCCCAGGGTCTGTATTTACCAAAGCGATACGAATACGGTGATTACAGCTGGAGGTCAGGTATGATTGCCAGCAGTGTAGGTGGTGTTCAGTGGATTTTGAGTGAGTCGGTGGATGGATCTTCCGTTACGGTGCAATCCGTGGCCTAGAGATAATCCTCGAACACTAGGGGCTTGAAAATTCTCAATCACGGCCTTTCTCATCGAACTTGGTATCTCGCTACTACTAGCTCCGGAAGGCAACATCGAAGGTGCACAGAATATCATAATGGTGTTGTGGGACTGGGCTGGATTTGGCAGTGGTGTGGCTGTAGTTCTAGCCCGAGCATTGACCTCATCCCAATCACCGAATTCGGTGTCGGCGCAGTGAGACTGGCTGCGAGGAATCGGGTGCGAACAAGGCAACGTTGTCAGGGGATCGACACGGTTTCCCATGGTAGGTAAGAGGGCGACGTTTCCGGCAAGAACGGGACCGGCGATGACGGAGTCCTTGACACTGCCGACTCACCAGGCGAGGAATTGTACTGGTGTTCACACGACAATGATCGACTGAAAAATGGGTTGATGAGATTGCGTGCGGCTTACGTTGGTTCAGGAAGCAGATTTAAAACATCTAGTAGAGGAGAATACCGCAAGCTTGGGGATGATTCGGGTTACGTAAGAACGCGTGCATTGTAGTGAGAGCGGGAGCACAGTAAAACGTGGAAAGTAGTCCTGAGTTCGGTGGTTGGATCGCCCGAGAGTCAAGGAGCGGTGCGGTTCACGTTTGCGATTATCCGGCCCAGAGTGAAGGTTGAATCTTGAGGTCGAATCTTTGTGGATACGATGGGCTTCCTGGCTTCCACAGTTGGAACTCGTGGGCTTCTGACGCAGGGCGTGACAAAAGCTCATTGCACCGATCGTGACACTCTTACGGGGAATCGAAACGGCCGACAGTCGTGCGCATCTGCAGTGTAGAGAACTTTTTCTGCAAACTAAGTGTAACGAAGACGACAACGACGACGATGAAGACTACCATTGTTGGTCTTACGTCACCACCACACCTGTGGGGTCATATCTCATCACAAGCCCTAAACCTCAACTAGAATCTCGATTCTAGAGAAGTTCCGTTTCAAGTCGATGCTCCGACAGGAGCTGTGAGTGGTAGACCCCAATCCCTGGAACTGATACGTCAACGATCACACATGTATGCCATATCATCTAGCACAATCTTCCACGTGCAATCGACCCCAGTGCAGTCGGACCCAGTTTCTCCAGCATAGCCGTTTCTCATTGTTGCTGCTCTACAATCACAAGCTGAACTTCATGTGTGTATCTTGGTCATCATTCTTCTTCTTCTTCTTCTTCTACTGCTGTGTTTAGTTTAGTTTTGCTAGTTTGTCTGTTGGAATAGATTTGTGTAATGCACACACAACCCTGCAAAGCTTACGAGGAGGTGGGAGGTATAATAGGCACAAGATTCCGTTCGGTGCTGGCACAATCAAATGGGGCAAGAAGGGTTATGTAGCTGGTAAGTAACCCTTGTCTCAGTCATTCCATTCTATAAGTGGAATCTAATTTCAACATTGGATATTCTATAAAGAATCGTACTTTACGCGGAATATGCGCACTTGTCAAGTTGGAGGAATATAATACAACGACAAATGTATACAAATATACACGGATATCATTAAAACATGGGAGGGGGGTTATTCTTAGAACTCAATGAGGAGATATTATTATCTAAATTGTTTTCTAAGTTTAGAAAAGGAAATTTATTCTCCAAAGTTAGCTACCATGCCAATGTAGTCAGGAATTATTGACGCAAAATAATACATAAAATTAACCCTCACATTGAACATTCTTCTTAAACCCACAATCACTGTGATTTATAAGATTGATTGACAACAAAAAGATTCAAATGAAAAGATTGAGCACACGAGGATTGGTTTAGAATTTTTGAAAAAAATATTATTCTGTGCAACTCCTAACTTTAATAAAGAACCACTTAACTGAAAGTGAATTACGTTTGCAATATGTTAAGGTTCAAAACTAAAGTATTTGGCACTTAGTAAATTTTGCAATATAGATTTTCATAAGCTTTAAAATATATAAATACATATGATCATTGTCATGCTATATATAGCTGACTCATGTATAAATTTGCTGTAACGTTTTCTTTCATGTTTCTTTTTAGCCCCAAAGCATTGTGATCCATGTTTTATTTTTCACCTTATATTTTATAAGATCATATTAAAACAAAATTACAATAAATTGTCTACATTAAAAAAATAAAAAATCATAAATAAATAGGTCTTTGAAACTTGAAAAATGTCACTTAAAAAAATAATTTAATTCCAATTGTCAATTTATACAGAAAATTAATAATAATAATAAAAGAAATGAATGAAATTTTCTTTTCAATAATATTATAATAATAATAATGACACATATATTCTTATTTCTATTCAAAACATTGTAATAGAAAATTTAGAAAATGAAAACGTTTTTTCTTTCAAAAGTAAGCATATAAAAATGAATCCAGGTATTTTGAGAATTTGTATTACAGATCTTGAAGTGTATTAATTGATTGAAAATATTTTCGCATTCAAATTATACAAATCAAACAGAGCCATCCATATCCATGACTATTCATAACAATAAGAGTTGTCAAGCATACATGATTCAACAATAAATATATATCATACAAAAAACATTAGCTAAATCTTCTTTAGTGAAGGGTTATATATATATATATATATATAGTGCATTACATTAATGAATGCATTTTTTTACTAGATTATTACTGACACGACATACATGAAGAAAAAATATACATATATATA